CATAAATCTATTATTACAATATTTAAATTTAGCTTTAATCAGATCCTCTCGCCCGTTGACTATTCCACACATGTGAAAAATTTACTTCGCCGGCCCTGTTTCTATTATGCCCGTTTCTATTACTGTAGTTCAATTTTAATTTCGGTTCAATTAACTCTTCAACTTCTTCTAGTTCTAAGAATTAGAAAAAAAAAATGAAGAATAAGTTGCACCGAAATTAAAGTTGATCTGCATTGATAGAAACGAGAAATTACTCGTCAGTCTCCTAACGCGCCAAGTTCTCCGTAGGATATTCAAGCGAAGGAGTCTATTCTCGAAACCGTGGACATTACGTATGGTAATAGGCATTATTTCCTACGACGATGAGACCACGTTCTCATTGAAAACAGTGATCCGATTTCCATTCACACGTGCGCGAAACGCTTTTGCACGGTTTCGAGAATAGACTCCTTGAATTCAGAACGACGGGGAGAAAGAGGAGAAATAGAAGGAGTTAGAATCGTATCCTCCAAAGTGGCATAGGTAGGGGGCTGACGTACGGAAACTGCGATAGAGGTGCGTCTATTTTTATGGTAGATATTTAAGGTGGGGAATCCATGCGCGGTGGCGCGAGTCCAGCGGTAGGTTTCTCCAACAATAAGCGTGATCTTGCCGGGAGACAGCCAATGATCATGCCAAAGAGCGTGCGATCAGCGAGCTTTCAATCATATCGTGCATAACGTACCTTTTCTCGAGGTCGACGGGATATCTCGAGATGAGCGTGGCCCTACCGCGCGGTCGGGTCGAAGGGGAGAACACACACAGAAAAATATCACTCTGTTGTTAAGAAAAGTGATTATACACGCAATTTTCTTCTTTTTAAGCAATGATTATATCTTTAACAAAAAAAAAAAAATATTTTCTCGATAATAATCTTAAGATATATTTATAAAATTCAGAAAAACTCATTATTATATGTACTCGAAATAAAAATTTATCTTCTTTTGAAGAATATTATAAAATTGATCAAAGAAGTGACTCTGTACAATAAGCAAATCGAATTTGTTTTAATTTAATAATCTTGATTAATAATTAAACTTAATAGAACTCAGAATATATTTTGAATAAATTTGACGCTTGTGATGAACTATGAGATATAGATTTACGGATATATGAATATTTCAAATCCTTGAAATACAAGTAATTATTACTAGCTTGTACAGTAAGTATTTTTCTGTGTGCAAGGTGTTTCGCAACAAGTACAATCCGAGGAGCGAGAGTGAAAAATGCGAGAGCAAAACGTGCTACAATTTTATTTTATTACGAGTCGTCGCGTTCTCTCGTCTCCGTGCGTCTTCGAGAGGCTGCGAAAGGCACGCGAGGCGTGTGAGTTTTCAACTTCCAAGTTGCACGCTGCCCCTGTCCGCCGTTATTCCACTCGTTATCGCAGAAATTAGTTTCCATTTACATCAAAACTCAGATAATTTCATTTGTAACGTCATAACTTAGTTGAATGCGCATTCCTTTTCGTTCTAACGAGTGATGTTCAACTGAATTTTTTACCTACAATTTACGCAAGTTCGAGACCGTATGCTTTACTGATATCCATTTCTACCAACGTAGAATCAACTTTCATCTCGACTCAACTTGCTCTTCATCCTTTTTTTAATTCCAAGAATTAGAAAAAGATGAAGAGTTAATTGAGCCAAGATTAAAATTATACTGCACAGGTAGAAACGGACATGTGTGTCTTGTTAATTCACATTAAAAGTGAGATTATAAATTTGTATTGTTAACTTTGAGATAACTTTGTCACCAGTGACCAAGTAGTAACGTTGTCTGAATAAAAAATACTCACATGACTTTAGACTTCGTGTCACTCACGTAAAAATGGATGGCAACAGCTATCGTTGGTTGCTGCTATTTCATGAACTTTTTATTTCCAAACAATCGTGCTGCACACGCGCTTGTTCTGTGCGATGTCGAAGAAGCCCTCGTACATGCATACGGAGCCTGTTTTGCGTCATTCGGCGCGATAACACGCGGCACAAACGTGTACACAAGAGCGACGGACAGCGACGGCCGAGTAACAAAAACACGCTTCGCATGTGACGCGGGGCTGCAGAGCCTGTATTTTAGCGTTGAGAGACCGTTAAGTCGTCGTGAGCAGTGATGGGAAGTGATCCAGAAACGATTGGGCGAAGTTACAGACGCGGCGGACGCATCAGATTACTATGCCTTCCGATGAAATTAGCGACTTTTTGACTCTTAACGTCATAATCCAACATACATGTCTTTTTCTAACGGGGCCAATTCACGTGCGACCGTGTCTGGATGTTTGCCGAGGGGATGATTTCCGACGACACAAGTGCTACGACCTACGATTATTATGCTACGATATGCCGTATCAACGATATTTTAATTAAATTAAGTTCGTACTGCCGCGATGTATACGCTGTTAATTTACATTTAGTACGGTCGGAAATTGTGTGTTTGCTAAGTGTATCTTTAGAATAGCTTCTCATTTTAGTTTAGAAACGAGAGCGTGAGAGCCTTAGGAACGATTGCTTTTAGAGCTGGCGAGCAATTAACTTGATAGATCCTTTTTAAAAAACCTGGACACTCGATGGGATCAAGATACAACCACTGAAAGAGTTATGCTTTTTCGAAGTACTTAAGGCTTAACGCTGAATGCTATAATACTATGCGATATGTTAGTGCCTAAAAATGTTCGAGAAAAATGTGCGTCGTTAGTATGGTGCCTAGATATTTTTTCAATCTGTAACGAGCACTTGGGATGAATCGATCCTGCCATCACTGCCCGCGAGAAAAGAATAAAGGAGAAGCGAGAATGTAATATTGTAAAAGAGGAATGTAATATTGGATGCGCAACGGAATGAAATGTGGATTTGGTATAGATAATATAAATATATGTACACAGAAGATGAAAATAAGAGAATGGACGTAACACAACGGACCTATCATAAAAGACAGTGTGTGCGCTTACTAACACAACTGGGACAGCTCGTTTCCTACGGCGAACTACCCCGAGAATGTAATAGCTAGTTTAAATCTATTATTTAAGTAACTAACGATAATTTGAGAAACCGCAAAAAAGACAGTTCCGACTTTAGTGGCGCTAAGAGAGAGAGAGAGAGAGAGAGAGAGATATATATAGAAGAGAACGAGAGAGCGGGAGAGAACGAAAGAGAGTGCGAGAGAACGAAAGACAGGGAGAGCAGACGCAATCGGTCTGCGGAACGAGCGAACGTGCTTTTGTATATATGTATTGTATGCGCACATTGTACCGTATATCTAAAGTCACATTATTATCCGTACTGTAGCCGGCGGAACATTTAGTGCTAGCGAATTCTCTTGTATGATGAACGAATAAATGCAAAGTATCGTTCGATAAAACTGCGGCGAATATTCTCGTCTTTCAATGTACCCAGTCTTATGTTTCACTTTGAGCTCGCAAGTAGCACGGTTTGCGTTATTTGAATCGTATGCATGATTCATGAACGAGAGGTTCGACACTCGTTCATTCCGAACGCCGTGACGTTCGGCAAAAATATTCCATTCAATAGTCATGTCATTTATTTCGCGTAATACATCGTCGATGTCGTTACCGTTACTATAATTCATGAGCTCTTCGAGAGCCCGCAATGTGAGATGTAACGTAATTTCTACGAAAACCGCGTAACTGAGAGCGTACTATTTACATAAGAAAACGCGGGAGGTAAATGTTAGTCTTACATGGCTCTAAGCAAACTCGGCCAATATTCGAGGATATAAATCGAATTTTCTTATATTTTTTCGCGCACACGATCCTTTCTCTCCGATGTCGTTTACTTTTCTCACAATGGCTTGTTGCATATTTTTATGTCGCCGTCTCTTCCAGAGTGTTATTTTTGAAAAGGTAAGATGGGATCGCTTGCGATCCACGCATGTAAAACTTATAAATTCTTTAATATAATAGAAGTCTACCATATTGAACTAATTTTAATTTTATCGATTTTTCTTTCATACATATAATTATCTCTTCAAATTTCCAGCGGTGAATGGCTGTCGTTAGACGAACTTTCGCTTCAAAGCACTTTGCCTCGCTGGTTTTACTTTTCTTCATAAACGTTAAACATTACGAGAGTTTAATTTCGTTCAAAGCGCGATTTTTCTAAGGAACACTTAAAATCTGCACATTTATAATAAAGTTTTTCTCTTATGTTTTCTTTATTAGTCGAACTTCCAGGATGGATGTCAACCCGAGTTCGAAGAAACATTATTACAGAGGAATTGTGACTATCGCATTTATACTCATTTATATACACTGAAAATAAATATAAAATTTTACAGGGATTGTTCTATATATCTCGTCCCGTTATATTCTCTCTAACCTTCAGTTTTATCTCAACTTTTCGATGTCGCTCTTTTCTGTTCGTTCATACGCGCTTCGATTTCCGGTCTAAAATGCCTGATCAGACCCTGTACAGGCCATGCAGCGCCGTCCGCTAAAGCGCATATCGTGTGCAGTTCTATTTGTTTCGTAAGCTCCCACAGCATGTCTATCTCGTGTACCTCGGCGTTACCTTCTACAAATCTGCAAAAAAAAAAATTATGAAACCGAATAATAATATAGAAGCAACGTTTCATGAACATTGCAGTTTATCAAACATTGGCATTCTAAGAATGGATATATACACGAAGATAATCCACGAAACACATAGCTTCTATGTAGAAAGTACCCAAGAAGTCTCAAAAGTATTATCGGATAATAATTTTTTACATACGAGATAAATTGTTAATTCTTACCTTTTTAGTATTTTATACATCCAACTGATACCCTCGCGACAAGGCGTGCACTGACCGCAGGATTCGTGCTTGTAGAAACTTATCAAACGAGTGATGGCCTTGATTA